ATCACACTCAGGATCTTGTGCTCTCCAGGCAGGCAGCAGCACCACTGAGTTGTACCCCCAACCCTTAAATGCTTTCAATTTTTGAACCAGTTTTATCATAAGAAACTTAAACAGTGCAGAAAGTATTTCTATTTTCTAATTTTACACAGCCATGGTGACTTCATTTTAACTAAGAAATTAACAAAAGTATGATACCAGTAGGTCCATTACAGGGAATGACCATATGACTCTAGATTTCCACAGTGCTATTTTTGTTTCTGGGTTAGATGCAGGACACCACATTATTCCTGGTCAGTAAGCTTTCTTATTTTTCTCTCCTTTCTTTAACAATTTCTCAATTTACAGTTTTGAGTCTTTAGAAGTTCTGAGTTACACAGATCAGTTATTTTATTGAATGTTCCCAACTCTTGGCTTTTCTGATATTTCCTTCAGTATTATGAGGAAGTTATGATTTTTTGAAAGAAGTGGTGCACTCTTCTTCAGTACCATTTAGAATAATTCCATCCCTGAAACCCACCCTGCAATTCCTTGGCAGTCAGCCCCTTCTTACTCTCTCAACCTTTGATATCTATCAACACATGCTTCAATCTATAGTTTTTCCTTCTTCCATGAGTGGTGCAGATGAATGACAAAATGCATCACATTTTCTTTTGGCCTCATTTATTCAGACAATATATTTATACATAATATATCTATCCATATTCTACCTGAATTATTTATAGCTTTGTGATTTCATTCCCTTTATTTTTATCCTTTATTATATGCAATCTCTAGTATTTGTGTGTTCTTATTTTCTATTTAAATGTTGAAAAGACAGAATCCATTTTCCATCTTCTAATGATTATCATGACTTATTTGTGACATGTCACCATGACTGGATTACAAAATTCCTACCAGAGTAGTGAAGCATATTTCTGGGTACCTTTGTCATGTGTTATTGAGATGATTTCCATTAAGGCTAGGGCTCTAAGGGAGGAAAGATGACCTTGGTGGTGGATGACATCACAAAACAGGCTTGTAGTTTGGAAGCAATAAGTGAGAATAAAGGGGAGAAGCCAGCTTGCACTTTTGAAGCTTCAGTCTACTTGAAGGGTGCATCTCTGACTACTGTAGTCATGGTGGACATTGGACTCATTGCTGCAGGTTTCCAAAAAAGCAGACCCAACTGGGTGACTCCCTGGAGCATCCAGGTCAGCAACCTTGAACTGGAGCTGCTTCTTTAGTCCTTTGCTTCACATGACTCCATGTCACAGGCTGAGCGGATAGTGGAAAGCTGGTTCTCTAGCATGGACACAGCATTATGCATTCCCCTGCCTGTGATCCTGTAAGCCTCCCCACTGAGAACAAGTATTCAGTATAATATCTACATATTTGTATCTACTTAAATCAATCATTCACATTTGTCATCACCCAATGTAATTTGTTTTGATCATGGATAATATTTTTTAAGTAAGCATTTTGTTATATCTGCTAACAATTACCTTCCATATTTCTTTTCTGAAATAAACATACTACACTTTTATCTTTTATCTTTTAAAGCTTTTAAATTTGGAATCACTTTTGCATTATGGAAAATTTCCAAAGTGCAGAATATATTTCTACTTTCTTGTGCTTATATACAATACTCCCTATCTCTCTCTCTCTCTCTCTCTCTCTCTCTCTCTCTCACACACACACACACACACACACACACACACATATATATAATGTATTTCATATATATAACAGTGGTTATACATATCAATACATCAATTAGTACATACCATTTAGGATCAATTATGTTTCTCTAGATCACCTTTCCCAATATGAAATTACATAAGGATTGTTTCCCAGAAACATACAATGGACATAAATTTCTCTAATTCATTTGTTGAAGCCCTGAGGAGGCAACATCTGAGATCTAAAATGACATTCTCTGTTTCTGGTGATTGAAAGTAGGGGTAGTTTTGGTGTGAACTTCTTTTAGAAATATGAACTCCAGATCCATTTGATTTTTCTAATTTGCTGCCTCTAAGATATAAGGATTTTAGTGATGCTAGGCACAAGAACTTTGAAGGTCTTTTAAAATGTTACATTTATTCTAATATGGGGTCCTTTTAGCTAACAACACCCAAAAATTAACACAGGAAAAGAATGAGCCTTACAGCGCCATTTTCCTACTCAGGATAAGATAAACAGGTAAGGTTTGTAAGTGCATCCTGAAGAGAATATTCTTTCCTGTAGACATAGGGCTGAAGCTGCCAAAAACAAAACAAACCATCACCATGTCATTGACTGAAGTTTAGCCCCAATTTAACTCTCATTTTTGAAATGTGTCTCCAGTGAAAGTGAGGGCAATGACAGAAAAACAAGGATTCTGTTCACTGAGTTGCACATACATGTGTGAAAGCATTCTGCTCATATGTAGTGGCAGAAACCTGATACTGCCAGACATTGAGCTTCTAAATTCTAAATTCATTTTGCCAGAGGAAGAGATTTCCCCACCATCATGGCAGGAGTGTTGTCATACCTGTCCTTGTGGTGTGGACCTTTCCATTTCTGCCTGAGAGAATAAATCCTGTTTTGCTATAGGATCAATAATGAGTTTTGCTGAGGCTATCAGCAAGCAAGACACTGCCAGGGCCATTAGGACCCATTCTTACAACCCACATTTGCAACTAGGTTTCTAATCAAGCTCAATTCTCAGTGAACTCTTAAATGTGAAATCCACAGTGTGACCCAGTCACAGAACTTGAGTTCTGTAATTCTTACAAGCAGAGAGGTCTGAGGAGCTGGTATTGGAGTGGATTTTAAGGGCGTGGGGTAATGCTGAAAAGAACACAAAGATAGACTAGGAAGAATTTCTTCATAAGGAGAGATCTTGAATTTAACATCACAGGCAAGAGAGACAATAGAGTTGTGTACAGTATATTTCACTAGGTGTCTGAAACAAGGATCAAAAAGTCGCGAGCTGTGAATGAGCTGGAGATACCTAACATTCCATTGTTTACTGTTGGTGATGGTATTCCCAACTCAGGGAGACATAATCAGTGCTGAAGTGGATTTGCCAAGTATCCCAGTCCTCACTGGTAAGATCTAGAAAATGAGCCTTTACTGATTCCATAAGAAACAGTTTTGTGATTGAAGGAATCATGAACATCCTCAAAGAGCTGTGTCATTCCTGTACTTTTTTTGCCAGATCTCACAGTTAGGAACACAATTATTCCATTGGCATTCCAAATACAATGAGTCTAACTGGATTACAGAGTTGTTCGGGCTGTGTAGCAGCACTCAACGGGCAAGGAAAGGTGGGTGTACTTACTGTAATGAACAACAGAAGCAGAACATTGACAGACTGGGCCCGAATCATACAGACAGTTGGCACTGGTGAAATAACTGTAGTGTTCCCAGAAGTGAAACACATAGGAAGCTTACTGAACTTTGGCAAGAATTATCTAGACATTAGAGATATGAGAGGAAAAAACAAAAATCTACATGAAGTCTTAAGAAGAGAGACACAAAGTCACTCCACAGTTCCCAGACTTGAGACTTTACATGCTCAGGACACCATGGAAGAAGAGATTGGTTCCCCTTCACAAAGGACCACAATGACTACCAAAATGTTTTACTGTTTGGCTTTCTTCTAGTCCACCATGTAGGGACTTGTAAGCTTTAATCTGGTTAATTGTCCATTGGGGAAAATCAGTAGACATTTCTGGGCCCATTGGGCATTGCTTTTAAACAAATTCTGACTCCAAGGATCTGAAACATTAATTCCAGAAAGAATAGAGTGCTACATGTGGCATAATCAATTGATTATTTGCCAATATTCAGCTCCCCATTGATCCAGAAAATCCTAAATCCATTTTTGGGTCTTTTATCAAAGTCTAGAAAGCGTAATTTGAATAGACATACTTGGAACTGAGTACATACTCATGCTGGGTACCTAACCTGAGGAGTCAGGGCTTCTATGGTGGAAAGGCCAAACAGATGCCATTATAGCTGCCCCTTCCTGGAGAAATAGTGAGTCACACACACACTGTCACACTTTGGAGAGCTCACAGAGATTTGTGCCACTAGGAAGGACTTCAAATATCCGTGGGTGATGGGTTGCACCACATTTCTCTTTATCTCTCTTATTTGGTCTGCACTAAAGACAGCCAGTTCTGAGGTGATGACACTGGGTTACTGTGATCTCTCAGCAGACAAACACAGCAACATTTACATTTCCCTTCCTCTTGGGTAACAATTTTCCAGTCTGGTGTCACAGCTAAATTTGCAGTGAACTTAATCACCTTTCTTTCTCATAAGGAACCATACTGTTCCCTTATATGATTGATATTTTGTTGATTAGACCAAGTGATTAATTGGTAGCAAACATTCCACAATTATTCATGAAACATTTGTGGAACATGGGAAATAATACCAACTGCAATTCAAAGCCTCAATGAAATTTCTAGGTTACTTTCATGGTGCATAAAGTAATCTTTAGAGGTGGGAAATAATTTATTGGGTGCCACTTACATCCAAGAAAGAGACAATTCCTAGGGGGCCTAGTTGCATTTTGGAGGCAACACATTTCTCACTTGGGCATGAGACTCCAGCTAATTTATTGTGTGAATCCAAAAGCGGCTGTTTTCTGCTGGATCCTGAAGGACAGAAGGCTCCTCAGTGGATCCACTGCTTTGCTCTTTTGGAACTTATGGTTCCCAAAACCCAGTAGAACTTGAGACGTCAGTACATGAAGGGGGTTGACGGGAGCTCACACATGTGAATGACAGTGGCAGCCCTTAGGATTTCAGAGTAAGCCTCTGCCATCATCAGCAGACTACCATCTCCTTGGTAAACAGATGCTGGCCTGCTTCTGGGACTCACTGCAAATGGAGCACCTGGTCATGATACACCACATCATCCAGCGATCTTAGATGCCCAAAATGGGTGTTATCTGACTGACCTTGCAATAGAAACAAACAGATTTCTCTTGACAGCCATGATAATGGAAGTGGAATACAGTACACGTGATGAGGCCCGAGATTGACCACAGAGAGCAAGGAAGATACACAAAGGTGCAGTACCGTGGTCCTTACTTCTGCTGTACATTTTTCCATCCCTCAGCAAGCACCTGTGGTCTCATGACTTTTAAATTACGACATGTTGACCCAAGGAGTGGAGATAAGGACCAGCCCTGGAGGGGTTCTTTATATTGTGAAGAAACAGCCAGCATGTGGACAGCTGCAGCACTGCAGCACTTTTCCAAGACATTGCTGAAGGTCAGTGGTGAAGGACATCTTCACAGTAAGTAGATCTTTGGGCAGTGAACCTGGTAATACATTTTGATCAGCTAGAGCATTTCATGAATTGTAGCCAATGGTCTGGCAACATTGCAAGTGTTGTTGAAGAAACATGGCTGGAAATGGGTGACAGACATTTGTGGAAGAAATATGTGGAAATACTTGTTTATGAGTGATAGACATGGAAGTAATTGTGTGCCACATGAGAGCTTGAGATAAGAATACCTCAGAAGAAGAGAACTTTAATAACCTGGTGTAGGGGAGATCTATTCTGAGATAGCAGTCAGGCTCTTCCCTCAGCCATTGCTATCATTGCCCAGTGAACTCAGGGACAAAGGAGTCATCAAGACAGAGGTGAAGGTGATGATGGCCTCAGCCAATTAACTTTCAGTCATCATGAGTGACACACTGAGTGTCCCTACTGCAAGCAGCAAAGACCAACACCGAAAGCCTGTTGTGGTACCACTCTCCATGGTAATGAACCTGCACCCTCATGGCAGTTGATGGTATCTGACACTTTTGACCATGGAATAAGCCTTGTCTTCCTGGAATGGACACATTTCTGGTATGGATTTGCCTTTGCTGCATGCAGTGTTTCTTCTAAATTGAACACCTACTGACCTGCAGGCTGCTTCACCCATCATTGCGGTTTTCCACACATCATTGCTTCTACTGAGGGATGAATTTCATGGCCACAGAGCATGGCTAATACCTCGGACTCATGGAATTCACTGATCCTAACATGTTCCCCTCCTTCCAGTTGTGGACGAATTGGCGGTATGATGAAACAGCCTTTTGAAGACGCAATTTCAATGAAAGACACTAGGTAGCGATGCCTTCCTGGGCTGGTAGCAGTTCTCCAGCTGTATTACATATTGTAATATTTTGCCCATGCCTTAGTCAGTATCCAATGCATGGTACTATTATTTCCATTCCTGAACACATGGTACAGGAGCCAGTTTGGGGAATTGGAAATATTGCACTGACTTCCACTTAGGGACCCACTAGCAAGGTGTTTGCTCCTACTCCTGTTACCATTTGCTCTGCTGACCGAGTGGTCAGTTCTAAAATGGTAAAAATTTTTACCCAGAGAGAAACATTGATTGCATTGGGTTGGTGTGTGATATTCCTTTCTGGCCATTTGGGCATAATTCCCAGTCAAAGGCTACACAGGGAATTGTGGTTTTCATGGGATGATTGATCCAGACTACCATGGATACCTGGGACTAATGCTCCACAATGGAGGCAATGCAGAGTAGGCTTGGAGCACAGCAGTCTGTGTAGGGCATCTCCTCATATTGGCATGACTTGTTATTAAGATAGGTGGGCACTACAGCAACTCAATCCAAATAGGAAGAGAGTTTGACTGGAGCCTGCAGGAAACAAGGAATTTTATCCCTCCAGGTGAAGCACCAAGACATCCTGAGATGGTTGCAGAGTATATGTGTGTGTGTGAGTGTGTGTGTGTGTGTATTCAAGTTATTCAGTTTTTTGTATTTCCACTCTATGCATGATAACATTGATTGACAGTGCATAACTAGTTTAATATTAAGCTTACGGTATTGGCAATGTCATGAGAAATACAAGTATGACCGAAATGCAAATTTTACTTCATTCTGGAAAAGGAGTTGTATGCTCTCAGTTTTAGCCAGGATAATGGTATCTTGGTAGGTGGAGTTATGTACTTACTACTACCTCTCTTTGGAAGTTAAGTATAGTTAAAGAAGTTGTATCTTGTCATGAAGTTGGTCATAGCTGTGTTGTGACCATTAATCATGGTGTGTCAACTTGAGTGGATTATGAAATGTCCAGCAGATTTGTAAAGCCCACTTCTGTGTGTTCCTGCAAGGAGTTTCCACATAGGATTGGAATGCCCTCCACCCAGCTGAGCAGGTAAGACCACCTGTTCATGGGTGGCACTGTCCAATGGGCTTGCAGATTGTGCGGAATAAAAGGGAAAGAAAGAGATGGTCTCTTCACTGCATGGGAGCTCTGCTTTCTTCAGCCACCCATCTCAGGTTGATAGCAGTGACTTTCCAGTCAGCTTCCAGGCTTATGATCTGGGCCCTGGAATTGTTTCCTTACCCTCTCTTGTCCTGCAATTTACAGCTTGTTTTGCGGAGCAACTACTGGACACTGCGGCTCTCCACCTCACAGACGGCCACTGTGTACTCTCCTGCCTCTAAACTGTAAGCCTCCATAAATATCTCCTTGCATAATTTCACATGTGTGTATGCCGAATATATTTTCTATTCATTCTGTTCTGGAGATCTCTAATCTATACAGAATAATATTTTTCTAGAAAATATTGATTGAATCACAGACACACACCATGAAAAATCTAATATCATTATGCTTCCAATTTTTGTCACAGCTGTGATTTTGAAAGCTTTTATCATAAAATTTCTATTTCTTTTATTATATTCGAGAAGGGCCTGTGGGGCTGGGGATTTAGCTCAGTGATTTTGCCACCTGCCTCCCAAGCACAAGGACAAGAGTTCGATCCCTGGTTAAAAAATAAATAAACTATCTTACTTAAGAATTTTTCTCACCACCTTGAAACTGTCTTTTCCTCTTTAACACAAAAGATCAGTATTTTACATTTCAATTTTTTGATAGATTATTCCATCAAGGAACAAAATCTTTATTTATATATATATATATATATATATATAAAATCTTCCATATTAATTGCAAAATGTAAGGAGTTTTACTAACCAATTATCCCTGTAGGTAATATTTGACTATAAAAATATACTCTACTAATTAGATGTTGCATTTAATTATTACATGAAGGTAAAAGATAAATGACTTTGTTATAGCAAAGATTTCTGACAGCTTCTAATAAAGATATGCATTAAAGGATGAGGTGCATGTATAATAAAATTGGAGGTAGCATTTCCTCTTTAAGGAATGTTTGCCATGAATGTAAAATTTGAGCACTGCAGGGAGACAGGCATTGTAGTATGTCAGCAAATGTAAATTTTCATGAACTGGTATAATATCAAATTATTTCTCAGTTCAGATCAGTGCAGTTTTATACCTGGAACTTCCATAGAGTGTCCAGCTCTTCTCCTGCCATCCTATATATGCTTGCCAAATATAGAATCAATGCCTATATTAATATAGAATAAATGAAGAATTAATTTATTCTGGGGACTTTGGGGGCTCTGGTCTATGGCTATGGATTTCCATTTTATTAGGTAGTGGCTGTGGTAATTAAAATTTTACAATATAAAATTCAAAATTACTCCCTGGATGTAGGCATGGTTTTGTGTCCTATTTCCTGCCAGATAACAATAGATGGAAGGATGCATGTATAGATGTGTTTGTGGACAGATGTTCAAGTTATGTTTAGATAAATGTATAGATATGGAGATCAATTGATGAGTTAATGTATCAAGAGGAAGATAGTACAGAAAAACACTCACACTACAGAGATGTATAATATTATTAGAACATAGACAGACAGACAGATAGGCAGACAGAGAGACAGACGTATAAATTTTGAAAAGGAATCACAGCACATTTCCGAATGGCTCTACTGAGCTCTAATACTTTACAGTAAAAGCTTTCAAGGTTCTGCACAGACCTACAACTTGGGTCCCAGAGTTCCACAAGACTGATGATTTCCAAACTCCTAGCAAAAAAAAAAAAGCAACAAACATGAACACTTGTAAGGAAAATGATGATTAATATTATATTAAGTGAACCTAAATAACATGATGTGACTAAATTACTAAATTACAAGTGCCCCACTGATTCACTCTCCAATGCGACTTTATATATTGTGGGACTACATTGAAAGTGACATATAATTTATTTGAAACTTCCGTCAAAATCTGAAAGGTGACAATTTTTAATTTGTAAATTCATAAAAAGTTGCAGCTAATCATTTGCAAATTTCACTTTATTAAAAATAATTCACTACTAATATAAATTAAAATATCCTCATGATATTTGCTGATTTTTAAACTTTAATTTGTTTCACCCTTTAAAAACCCCCACTAATAGGGAAGGGTGGAGGGGTAAAGGGAGGGCAAGAGTATGGGGAAAAAATAAGAACCAAGATACATCATGTAAAGGTACAAGTTCCCAATAATGAATGTAACTGTTCTGTGTACCTGAAAAGTACCAATAAACTCAATAAGGAAAAAAAAACCAATGCATCTTGTAGTAGACAGTTTTAAAATTATGTGATGCTTTTTATATATGAATGGTAACATAAAGGGTAAAAAATATTCTAAACATCAAGATAAGTCAATTAAATAAAGTATAAATAAAATAAAAGCTCTTTTTTAAAGTATTCATGAAAACCAATTGAATGACTTTTAAAGTTAAGAAATAGAGCCCTAAATAAAAGGTGGCAAAATTGCTTATTAGTTTCATGTACAAAAAATAGGAGAACTTTAATATCACTTGAGCCACTTACTCAGCTACTGGAAAAGACCTAGGCTTCCGTGCCGCTTTTAATCACAATCCAGCAGATCAAACGTGGTGAGCAAAGGGAGTTTTCTTTGTAAAAGCAGACAAAAGCATCCTTAGTGAATTTCTTCATTGTTCTAATTTAATGTCAAAGTTTGATAAAGAGAAAAGCCTAGGAGTGATCACACGGGATGTTAACCCTCTTCTACATATCTTCCCCAAAGAATTAAAGTCACATCATGGGGATACATACTACTCTAGTAAACTGAGCTGCTATTTAAATATAGATATGTGTGTATTCCTGTAATAAGACTTTAATTCTTTGGGGAAGATATGTAGAAGAGGCATACCAGAGTCAAATGGAATTTCCTTGGTTATTGTTTCAGGAATCATCACACTTATTTCCATAGTTGTTGTACTAGTTATTATTCCCATTACCTATTATCTATTCTGTCATTTCAAAAATATTTTATGATAAATACTAATTTGTTTAAATATTTATTAGTAGCTCAATTTATAATAGGTAGATCTTGGAAACAGCATATACATCCATGAACACATGAATGGATAAAGAAAATGGAGTACTACTAGTATATTGTATACCTAAAATGTACCAATAAAATTAATGAAAAAAAGATGAAAGTAGTTGCATCCATAGCAGAAAAATAGGACAAATATGAACTTTTTGCATAAAAGCCACCTTTTGGTTTATGTAGATATTTCAATATCCTGCTCACGGGAAAGAGGCTATAGAGCGGCAAGGAAATGTAACAGATTGTACTGAGAAACGCACCTCTTGGCAGCCCCACAAACCGAGGCTCCTGTGAATGCACAAGGCTTGGGTTTTCTTAGATTATCTTTTTCCTGGCTATGTAGGAAAGTTGCAGCACCCATCAACTTTCATAGTAGCCATTAATGTCAGTTCTCATAGCAGATTTTCTTACATTTCTGAGAGAGGGAATGTAATACAGCATTCATCTTTCTACAACTCTGCTGCTTTTTCTTAATAAATCAGACTTCCTTTGCCCAAAGAAAAAACAGCAGCTACACAGTACAAGTGTATGAAATCCTGACCAGTCTTTAGATTGAGAGACCGAATGAATCACCACACTCAACGCTGATGATTTAAAATTTAACAGTGCTTAAATTATAGTAATTGAAAGACCACCTCACAGAGATTCTAAGCTTTCTAGTTAGATCTTTGATAATGCAATTATATAGTATTAACATGGTGGCAACAGGAAATGCCATCAGAGGAAACTATTTTTTAAATTATCTCATCTGTTCATAAAATGCCAGAGTCAATAAAATTGAAATGAAATGTCACAAGCTGCTTTAGATGCATGGACATAAAATTTATAGAAAATGATCGTGAATTTCATTATTATTCATTATTCTCATATCATTTAAAAATCTCAAGAGAGGAATAGACCTTGTGAGTCCAGGAATGACACATTTTGCACCTTTTCCTGAGAAGGACTTGGGTCTCAGAATGCAGATTCATTATGTTAATCATGGTGTATCCACCTCTATCCTTGGGATACGTGGAGCAAATGGGCTAGTATTTGTGTTTATTACATCATCTACAGTGTAGGTGAGTATGTGTGCACTCCTGTGTCTGTTTGCCTTCAAATTTTGTTATATCTTTGCCCTTTACAAAACTCTCTGAGGTCAAAGGTGGTATCTTGTACATCTTAGATATGCATAGGCTCACTGATGTTTAAAAATAATTGTTCATTTTCCTTCAAGTCTATCCCAATTATTGAAGTAATCATTTTTCCATCATCTAACTTGAAAATAGAATAATAATTTTTATGTCTTTGTATTTAGTTTCTCCAGACCTGTTTCTTAATCTGTAAGCTTGGAGATAATAATATGAATTTAGCTACATGCTAAAATCAAAAGCAACACAAACATAAAATATATGGTATAGCATAATTGAACATTTCTTGGTTCTTATTTTTCCCCATTCCCTTGCTCTTCCTTCAACCCTGTACCCATCCCTATTTACAAAGACTTTGTTTCCATTTTTCTCATATTTATTTCCTTCCCTTCTTTCCTTTCCTGTACCCATCCCTCTTCCCCTTCACCTTTGGACCTTTTCTTCCTAGTTCAATTATCTATTATGAATGTCAACATATTGTATACCTAAAATGTACCAATAAAATTAATGAAAAAAGTGCAGCATTTACATATGTCACTTTAAATTGTAAAAAATAGAATTCACAAAAGGAAAAAATGACAGAATTCAAATAATATTTTTCAGGGAACTGAAAGTTCCCTTTTACAATACTTATTATATATCTCCTGATCTAAGTGTGTATCTTTTGAAAATTTATTTCACCTAGCAATCTTGAATGAGAACATTTCCAATTTATATTAAATAAAACTAATTCCTAAGCAAATTCCAATGCTTAAAGAAACTGCAGACATTTAAACAAATTCAAAGTAAATGACCTAAATAACCCCAAGGACCCTCTAATCAAAACTGGTCTCCATTTCTCTCCAACATTTCTATCCCTTTAATTTAATTGAATTAATCAAAATCTATTTCTAGCTCATATCCTGTAGCACCTATTTTATGAACTTAATTTGTTTTGTGATTTGGGGGAAGAGGGCTGTACTTGGTTTTGTTACTTAATGTGGAGATTGTGAAGGGAAAAACATTCTGAATGTTTTTGTTTGGGAAGTGAACTGTTTGCAAACAGAAGTGTTTGTGAACCAAAGTGTTACTGCATCTTCCTGAATATGAATAAGAAAAAAATTTGATAACCGAAATTATGGGGGTAATCTCAGTGAGCAACTTAGCAGAACAGGCAGAGAGAAGAGAAAGTCTGCTCAAATATATCTGTGAATTCATCAAAGTTCATAACTAACATCTGAACTTGGACCAGGACGGCCAGGCATTCTCCACTGAAGAGGGCTTCCTGTCCTGATCACCACCATGGATGCCCAGGGGAAAGGTACATGCATCAAACAGTGAGACACTGGATTCATCAAATCCAGGGTGGGTTAATGTGAAAATGTAGCTAAAGACAAAAGTCCCAGGTTTATATGGTTTAGAACTATCTAAATGTTGCTCTAGAAAGAAATTGCACAGGGCACACAAGAATGTTTCAGAGGTCCTGCAATGGTGGAATCCTCCAGTTTTGGAGATTTGGCAATGGCTGTAGACCTTTTACATTAATTCCGGTGCAGGTGGGACAGTGAGGGTGCTTTTGGTGCCTAAGTGGGAAAGGAGAGGGGGCTGCTAATCATTTTGCAGTGCTGGCCAGATCCCAGAACAAAAATTTATCTAGCTCAAAAGTCAGTAATGCTGAGATTGAGGAACTCTGGGCTAGCATAAGACCACAAGAGTCATTGGTTCCAATCCTCAGAACTCCAGAAAGCAGAAAGTAACATTTTCTGGTTCTTGGGTCTAATATATGAATTGGCCAACTTGAGCCAACCTAATGAAACTTTGGATTCTGAAGCCACAGTACAGATAGTGATGGCAGATGGGTAGCTCATGTGGCTTTGTCAGTTTGGTTCAAACACAATGTCCTTTCAAAAGGAAGAGCAGGTGAGTGTTAATTTGAGTAAATGACATTTGTAAGAAAAACAAATTAGAAAATATTTCTGATATGAAGAATAGATTCACTAGTCTACTTCTCACAGGCTGTGGAAACCCCTAGGATGACAAGCGTGTGTATATGTGTGCTGATCATTCAAAAACATCTATTCAGTGATGGGGCCGGGGATTTAGCTCAGCGGTTTGGTGGCCTGCCTTGCAAGCGCAAGGACCCGAGTTCAATTCCCAGTACCCAAAAAAAAAAAAAAAGAAAAAGAAAAAAAGAAAAAACATCTATTCATTGATGAACTTCCTGCAGCTGCTACCTCAGTTTCTCTATTTGTAAATCACGTTTCCATCACAAATATATGTAAAATTTGCATTTGTCTTCACTAAATTACTACAACATGATTACATTTAAATTTTGTAATCATTAAAATTTTGGAAAGTAAAACTATATAATATGAATGAATGTATGTTGTTTTAGTTTTGCAACCAACTGGTGACTCAATTCCATTCTCCATGAAAATATTGATGTACATTTATTTATTTTAGGTATTTGCCTTTAGGAATTACTCACATAAAAATCTTTAATATTTGCCTAGGTCTTCCTTGGAGATTTCTACCCTCATTTATCAAAGGTTTTATGGAAGTCAGTCTTCTGGTTATAACACCATCATATCAGAAATTCCTTTGGAATAGCATCAGTAAAGGGAAACGGTGATTTTAATTCTGTATTTACTGTTGTCTCTTTCCTTTTTTGAGCACCAATTATTGAAATTACTGAAATAATTTTAAGGAACTGCCTCTGACCACTGTCAAAGATTTTTATGTGAGTGTTTCATAGAGCAGAGCATGGATAAAATTAAACTTCTGAGGGGCCCTCTTATCCAACACCCATGGCACAGAGCCATTCTTCTTGGTGACCGTCAGCACTCTGCACACACTGCACCCATGGCCGCTTCTGTGGTCCCTGCTGTACAGGTGCTCCTGAGAGCCCACAGGTGAGCACGAGGGAGGTGGTGAAGGGCAAGTTTGACAGCCCTGGTGCTCTGCTTCCCCATCTGCCAATCCCAGGACTTGGGGAGACTCACTTAACCTTGCTCAGACTTATTTTGGATCAGTATAAGTTATGATAGTTATGAAGGCTCAGTCTATCTCTAAGGGTTTTGTAACTCTATAATTTAGAAAAATGTCTAAGAGTGGCAAAGTGTGAAGCAAATGCATAGGATTGTCATGTTGGGTTAGCAGTTACAGCCATCGTATCATTTTTGTGAGAGGATTCCTTTCATACTCAGGACTCACAAGCATGTATAGTTTTAGAAGCATGAAAATAAAACAAATAGATAAAGTGTGGTATACTTGCCAGTCCATGGTCCAAAATGCAAATATCAAACAGTGACTGAAAAAACTGCAAACTCCTACAATATCTGACAGTGAGTTAAAGAATTATGAGCTCCTGTAGTGTGTGACAGCTGAAAATCCAACTATTTTAAGAAATTACTTAAGCAACCTGACCACAATTAACTTAAATTCCCAAAGTTTGCAAAGTACAGGAGCATTTCTGGGAGAAATGTGAAAAAGTGGGGTGTTCCTCACTTTTCAAACTCTGTGTCTGTGTAAGTGTAACGAACAACACAGATGTGCACTGTGGAAGGTGCTTATTCTCAGTGCCAAATTGGAGGGCTGGGAGAGAAAAGGCTCCGAAGAGACAAGGCTTGTTTGGGGGAACTTGGATAAGTAGATTACCTAACAGATTACCTAGATTAACTGTGTGTCTTGGTTAACCAGGGTCGCTTGTAATGCTGCTGGCCATGTGGAGCCTGCTCCTGTGGCAGGATGTGGCCGCCCAGGCTAACTGTATCACTGAGCCTGGCTACCGTATGTCCATCCTGGATCTGTTGGATCATGCAATCACCCTGTCTCACTACATCCACACCCTCTCTTCAAATCTCTACCAGGAAGTTGTAAGTACTTCTCTTTTCTCCTCTTCTCAAAAGGGGCCTTCTCACTAATGATGGAAAAGGAGTACAATGTACCCAAATTTCAAATTATATTAATTAATGGATTAAAGAATGCACCAATCAGTAAAATGGGGAACACCAAGGAAGGAAACATTTAGGAAATTTATGATTGTCAAAAAGCCTAATGATTTTTGCAAAAACTTTCCTGAAATAGGACCAGGGATTTAGCTCAGTGGTTCTGCCACCTCCCTAGCAAGGGCAAAGACCCGAGTTCAATCCCTGGTACCAAAAAAAAAACAAAAACCTTCCTGAAATAGCTTTACTTTAAAAAATGTAGACACTTGACATGAATCAGTGTTGGCTGGGCTGAGGAAGCATGCTGTTGTCTTTTTCTTACCTGTAGGGGCCAGGTCAGGCATTCTTCATTGAGCACAATGCAGATGTCCAAGAAATGAGAACAGCTTAGCAGTGAATGGGGTTGATTAAACAGAATCAAACTAAATTTAGTTATTTTCACACAGAAAAAACATCTAAAATAATAACTTCTTAAAACCACAAAATACAAGGAAACAGACAGCTAAGATTTCCAGTGCAGGAGGTAGCAGAAGAGGTGCTTTAGAAGTGGAGGCTGGTTCTTTCTTCCACTTAGAGGCAGCTTTAACAGTGGGTGTAATATCTTCTGGGCAGTGGGCTGCAGATGAGGGCCAAGACCACAATGAGCAGTGCAAAGTGGCACTGAGTGCGATGCACTCCCACCACATGGTGCTGTCCTATAACTCATTGTCCTTTCAACTTGCCCTGAGTTTTCTTCAAAATCTTCCTAAAATCCCTTTCAAAGTTTAAAAATTTGGTTTTAGCAGCCTGTGCAATCCACTGGTTTTTAATCTCCCTCTATTACTGAGAATTTCATAAAATAATTTGTCTGTTTTATGATATTTTTCACACAAAAAATGTATTTTGAACTTAGGATCAATTGGTAAGATTAAGGCACGTTTATTAAGAGGTGATTGAAAGAAAATTATATTTTTTGTATCTATTTAAAGAAAGTATATCAGTTTGAACCCCAGAGAATCTAGAGATTAAGGAGGTAAATAGAGTTGCATATGTATCTTGGCCTTTGTGTCAAATGCTAGAGAAAAGTGGTACTTCACCAACACGCCCTTTATAGCTTCAGTGTTTTTCATGCTTGTGTTCCACATCTTAACTCATGGCAAGACTGAGGAGACAATGGCATTGGGAAGGGAAGACGGTGGGAGATCAGAAAAGTCAGCTGAGAAACAGTGAGGTTCCAGCGGTAATGGGAAAAGGTAGGCAGAAAGGTTGCTTTCCTACTACGGATTCAGACTTCATGGAGCTCTCCTTTGTAATCAGTTGCACAGCCATTAAATGTGATAATATTAAGCAACACGATTTGGATTTTCCTTCCCAAACCCAACTCACTGAATTTCCCATTGTTTCCAGGAAACCCTTTACTCTCAGGACACAGACTTCTTTGTTCTGTACATGACAAAGTGTCACACAGCCTCCATCTCCACACCAGGGAACAAGGAACAGGCCCTGAAGATCCAGGTGAGTCCCCAGCCCAGCTGCACCAGGCCCGCTGAGGCAGTGATACACTTTGTGCCCTGTAGGCTCTGAGAGCTCTGTAGTCAGTGGTGATGGTAGTCACACTGCAGAGACAAGTGGAGGGAGAGCCAAGAACAACCACAGGCTGCCTGCAAAATTCGGGAATTAAATGTTGTGCAGGATCTATATGTTATAAGGCAGATGAAGATATTTTAACCAATACTCCACACCGAGGAGTTTGTATAGCAAATGCGGTGCAGTTTGTCTTAGTACAGGTTACTGTGACTCCTGCGTTTGTGGTGTTTACATCACTGATGCCTCTGTGATCTGTGCCATCTCTCCTGGACTCCCAGCAGCCTCCTTCTCTTTTTGTTTCCACTTCTCTGACGCTGACTTCCTCCCTGTGCACTCGTCCCTCCGCCCTGCTGTGTCCCAACTGAAATTCCTCCTGCTGTGCGTTTCCTGCAGAGATCATGTCACAGTTCTCACAGGCGCAACTCTGGTCTCCTTTCCAATGACCACAAGGGACAACCTGTCAAACCCTAATAATTTATCCATGCTCTAAACTTTTCCTGTTATAATCTATTTCTTGATTTTGTACTATGACCACAGTGTTAACATGATTTTGAATGAAAACATGGAATTGAAGAGAGAAAACAAACTTGAATGTTACCAATAACAAATCTTAGTAGAGTAGTACTTATTTTAATAGGCCAGTTTTATGTATTTGTTTGACTGTAGCACTGTTAGGCCAATGGCCTAAATTGTACATTTTAAGAGCATCTATGACCTACAGAAAGATTTTACACACAGACCCAGGACCATCAAAGTATTTAAGGTCAGCCTCTCTGTGCAGAGGTCACATGTAACTAACCTGGCTGTGTCTTGCCCATGTCCCTGGTTACTCCAACCTGACTGCCCAGCCGAAGGATTTCATAATCCTGGTGATCCGATTGCTGCACTCCTGGGAGGACCCCCTGAGCCACCTCATGACTGAATCAGTTCACCTGCCACGTGTCACCCTCAGTTTCACTTGGAAAGCTGAAATGATAGAGAAGAAAATGCAACAACTTCTAGAAGGCCTGAAGTGGATCGCCAGACGGGTAGGCAGCCTCTTGATGCTTCCTTGGTTTTCAGTTTTTGGGGTCCTCTCTGTGTTGGGAAATACAGTAGCATCCCCTGGTTTGCAGGAATAACATTTAGGTTGAATATTGCACCTTTCAATCTGCTATTCAGCAAAGCATGAGCCATGGCCAACAGTGCAGATTCCAAAGTGAATGAATCTCAGGATTCATGGTGCTGACAGTGTCCCCTTCCCTGCCCTGCTCTGTCCATGGAGCCACCAGAACTGGTCTCTTCATGGGTTGGTGGTCAAAGATTTACAAGGGAAGGAAAATCAGAGAAGAGCACTAAGAGATGGGTTTTCCTCACAATATTTTAGGACTCCCACACTGAAATTCTGGTCAGAGTCTCTCTCTTCTCCTCACACCAAAGTAGGTTAAACCTCTATTTGCTAGAATAATTCCTTCTGCTCATGATCCAAAGCGCTTGTACCTGAGCAGTGAGGGAAGACTTGGTTGTGATCATGTGATGTTTGGTCATGCACTATTCATATGTAGGACATAGCTGGTTTATGAAGTTAAATGTTTGCTTGTCTTATGGACCTCTTACAAACCAAGCTCCTAATATTCCCAGGTTTTACTATATTTTGGGGGAAAGGGAAACATCAGTATCAGATTGGATGGTGCTTCCAATCCCCTGAACCTTGAAGAGACTGAGGAGGCCATAAGCATTAATACTTAAAACTGCTAAGGAGACCCTTGTGTGTAATGTTCTTCATTTCACAATTTATAGTGTTATCCTAAATTATTTTGTTGTCAGTAAATTATCTACTATTGCATTAAATCACCCTGAAAAATTTAATGATTGAAATTATTTGATTGAATTACTATTTTCAATATGCATTTGCATTCAAATAAGACAATTTCAACAATGGTGTGATGACACATAAGCAGCTTCTGAAGTTCTCAGAAATGAAGAATAATTAAAATAAGATTTCAATTAAAGAAATGACAACATAAGTAATGATATATTTCATTTTTATGTCCTAAGTACTTGTTAATGTGTACCATTTTTGTCATTGTTATGAAAGTAGGTTATCTCCAACTCATATGCACACTGTAAAATAAATAATACATTAATCCAGGCAGAAAATAAGTGCCTTATATTTTTTACTTATTTTCTTCATGACTGAGAACCAAATTATAGTGACTACTAATTTGTTCTATGATGCTTCATCCTGTTAATTTTTTCTACCAATTATTCATTTGTTCCTGTTGTCATTTGCATACATTTTGCAGTAAATTTGGAAAAGTAAAAAAATAAAACAAAAATGAAACAGAAATTGAGATAACCAATATATAAACCAACACACACACAACACACAGACACACACACGCTTTAAATTGCAATAAAAAGTATTCTTACTCTGAAAGAGGAAGTTCAGCAGAACCAGTCTAGAATTATCCCAGATTTGTTCATACCAGTTCTGGACATCATCTGACATTTTTAAGGACACCAGGATGAGTCCTGGATCTCTGAGATTTCTGGTGGTTCTCAGCTTGCAGCCCCCTACAGAGGACGGGGGCTCTACTCTTTCTGTCTTGCACTGTGTAGGACTTTTTGGAAGCACCACCTAACCCTGGCTCACACAATGGGGCCCTAAACAAGCAGGGCTGCTGCCTGCATCTCCTTCTCACTGGTGCAATTCCAGCAACTCTAACCCTGGGCTGTTCCGGAGAAGCAGCTTCTCCTCATGGAAATCTGGAAGGTAGTCTCCTGACTGGCGTTAGAGAATCATAACTTCTTAGTCCAGATTTGATCACCTGTACCGTAAAGCACCAAGGGCACTACTCATCATCTCTAAATTATTTTCTGCAGACACTCAATGAGCAATTGATCCAGTTACAAGCCACAAAAATAAACAGTGAACTATCAGGAGAAATAAAATACAAAGTAGTTATCTGGGACAAATTTCAGGAGATCTTAAGTCCCTGAATTGAGACAATGGAAGCTGTCCTTTATATTGTCCCTAGGCCAAATGCATGCACATTCAAATAGCAATGTTCTAGATATCTGGTTTTCACTCCTGCAGGTGCACACTTCACCTGTGATCAAGTGCATATCAGGAAAACAACTCAAGTGTTCTTCTAGCTTCTGGATGACTAGTAGTTTTACTATACCCTGGATAAGATACATGAAAACTCACACCTTTAGCAAAAATTTTACATTTTCATCTCTTCTCAAATCATAATTAAAAATTAATAGATTCAAAGAGAATAAATACTGTTAATATGATTAATAAGTGCTATCTGTTTGAAATCTAGATTGCTCCTCAAATCACAAACTATGGGGACTCTCCTGTCTGGACCCAACTTCCCTCTCTGCAGTCAGCTGATGGAAAAGAGCACCTGAATACTCTCCATCACCTGTGCCACTGCCTACGCAGGGACACACATAAGGCTCAGAATTTCCTGAAGGTCCTGAAGAGCCACATTGCATATCACGGTAACTGTTAAGCTCATTTCCATTCCTTAACCATCAATTCCTTGGGAAGCTTCTTTTAGTTTTATGGAATTTCATGGATGTTTGTGTGTAACAGTGTAAGGTTTCTCTTCTGAAAAAGTAAAAACTGAGTAGTACTGCCAAAATATTAGAAGTCAGTGTGTCAAAATTTCTTGCCTTCATTTAATTGAAACCTCCACCAAATATGTCATTACAATCAAGAAGTTAGTATCAAAATTTCTCAAAAGTTTTTTGATCCTCATTCCCTTAGACAAGAGCCCATCTTCATTCTTCCCATTATCTAATTGCAGAGAGAGAGGGAAGGGATAAGGAATGAAAAAAGGAACTAGGATGTGTTTTATCCGTGCACTAAATATACAGAAGGAATGCAAAAATTATGTATGTAATACACAGAAGTACTAACAAATTAAAATTAAAGACAATTCTTAGAAGTAGCAGAACTAGCCTTGCAAATAAGACAACTAATAACTTATGGCAAATTTACAGTGAATTAATATGAGTGAAGTTGTGATCATCTAAGTCATATTATAAAGCCTAATGAATTCTGAGACCATTTGTGAAAATGAGACACATCCTGTCAGCTAACATTCACAATGCTCTGATTCACAACACACATTCTACCCTAAATGTCCCCAAATAATAGGGTGAGACCTGATGAACAGTATAAAAACTGTCACAACACAAATGTGACATGGCTTCAGATTTCAACCATGTTCTACTTCATCCCTACTTCTTTATCTTCAGCTTGGAAACAATCAATATATTCTTTTTACTCTGAGTTTAACAAGTTGATCAAGGAAGAAAAGTCATGGAATTTCAGACAGATTTGACATGAGAGTTTGGAAGAATACCCCTACCTTAGTTAAGTCCAAGTCTGGTGGAATTTTAGTCCTGAGTTACTCAAGGAAACATGAGGAGCTGCACAACTGAGATGAGGCTGTTGATACCGACACAGCTTCCTCCACTGCGAGAAAAGTGAGACATTTCCTCTCACCCTGCCTAATTCTGCCATTGTTTCTGTTCACAAGTCTGTATAGGCAGAAGTTTAATAAATGTACAAACATACAAGGAACAAAGGCAGCCTCTGTCTGATAAGTACAAAACTGCTTCCTGGGCTCCCTTGCTGCTGGACGCCAGAGTTCAAGGCTGCAGCCTGCACATCAGCTCTGTGGCCTTGCTCTCTTTTCATTGTCCCATGGATTGAAGAGGTAGCAGTGCAGCAAGGAACAGTAGGGCAATTCTGCATTCCTTTGGTCATTCCTGTACCATCAAACACTCAGAAACCACGTGAGAAACTTCTGTTTCCATGTCCACAGGGAAACCAAGATCCCTTAGCTTGTTTCTATTCAAAGGAATTAAAAACAAATGTATATATTAAAATATTCCTGAAGATTAAGTTATTTGAAAAGCATTTTACTTTATAAATACAAAACTATGGGCTGTAATAATCCCAGTATTTCCTGCTTCTCCACCCAGTCTGCCTCTCCCTTGGTTCTCTAATGCTTAAGACACAGAAAGTAAGCAAGGGTTATAATGCATAAGATGGGTGGCTAATACTTCAAAAACTGCAATACACATTCAATGCAATTCTTAATGAAATCAACAGTATATTTCACAGAACCAGAGAAAATGATCCTAAAATTCATTTGGAATCAGAAGAGACCTAGAATAGCAAAAGCCATTCCAGGCAACAGAAACATACCAGGGGGGTATCACACTCCCCAACTTGAAACTATACTACAAAGCCTATGTGATAAAAACAGCATGGTACTGGCAAAGAAACAGACCCAAGGAACGGCCTAGAAGATGCAGAAACAACTCCTGGCATACTCAGCTACCTCATCTTTTGCAAAGGAGCCAACCATCCTCACTGGATGACAGATAGCCTCTTTAATAAATTGTGTTAGAAAGATTGGATTTAAACCTGTGAAAGATTAAAACTAGATCCCTATCTTTCAACATGCACTAAATTAAAATCCAAGTGGATTAAAGATCTAAATATAAAAACAGAAACACTAAATTTGCTGGAAGATAAGTTAGGTAGAACTCTTGAAGATAAGAGCATAGGAAAGACTTTATGAACAAATCCTCAGTAGCACAGAAACTAGCACAAGGAATCACCAACTGGGATCTCATCTTTTTAAAAAGCTTCTGCACTGCAAGAGAAACCATCAACACAACTAAGAGACAACTCACTATGTGGGAAAAATTTTTACCAGTTGTTCTTCAGCCAAAGTACTACTATCTAATATATATAAAGAACTCAAAAAAATCAAACCCCCGAAATACAAAGATCCAATTCAAAAATAGGCATCAACCAAGACCTGGCATGTAAAGGTACAAGATCCCAGTAATGAATGTAACTGTACTGTCTACCTAGAATGTACCAATAAATTAAATTTTTTTAAAAATAGGCAGCAAAAATGAACGAACACTTCTCAAACAAGTAAAAACAGCAGATAAATATATGAAAAATGTTTAATATCATTAGTCAGTCAAGAGATGCAGATGAAAACAACACTGAGATTCTATATCACACCAGAAAGAATGACTGCTATCAACAAATTTACCAATAACAAATGCTGGTAGGATTGTAGGGAGAAAAGAACCTTTTTAACTTGTTTGGGAGAATGCAGACTGGTGAAACCATTCTGGAAATCAATATGGAGATACCTCAAAACCTAGAATTGGAGGCCCCATTTCACCCAGCTATTCCCCCGCTGGGTATTTTCCCAAAAGAATTAAGAGAATCATACCACAGCAATATAGGTTCACCCATGTTTATAGCGGCACAGTTTGCAATAGTTAAAACTTGGATTCAGCCCAATTGCCCATCAACTGGAGACTAGATAAAGAAGATGTGGATATTTTTCTAAAATGGAGTACTACTCAGATAAAAAGGATGAAAAACTAGAGACATTTCTAGCTAAATAGATGTATATTAAGTTCATAATCTTAAGTGAAATAAATAGGACACATATGTGTAAATACCAAATTGTTTCTCTGGTGTGAAAAACTAAAAGTGTAAATAAGATACAAATTGTATATGCTGCTAATGTGAAATAGGAAGAAAAGAAGAAACGGGCTAAAAGAGTAGGAAAAGTGAGAAGGGTAGGGGAAAGAAGGGAAAAGAAAAATATGAGAAAGGAAAAACTGGAAGCAAAGTCTTCATGAATAGGAAAGGGTGGAGGGGCTGAAGGGAGGGCAGGGATATGGGGGAAAAATAAGAACCAAAATACATCATATAAAGGTACAAGACGGCAATGACAAATATAACTGTACTGTATACCTTAGAAAGTACCAACAAACTTAATGAAAAAAAAAAGATGGGATTATTAGGTGACCAGATGCTGAAAGTCTATCATAATGAGGGTCATTTTTCATGTACTTCTTTTGGGAATTTGATTTTTCCTGACCTTACAAGGTTAGGGAAATGGGTTGATAAACAGTTTATGAGGTGGTCCATCTACTGTGTTGCCTCTGAATCGTATGAGTTACCAAAGTGTGTTTACACTTGGATCACTTGGCATGCACCAATTCTTCTGTGAAATCCATCATTAAACAGCAGTGCTTGGCTATGAGGAGACTATTACTTAGTGTTGTTAAGTAATTCTACCACTGAGGACCTAAAACAACTCTGCATAACTTTTTAAATAACCTGAGACTTATGATTAGCTTCCTCCATTAATGATGACCACCAAAAATAACTAAATATTTGTCTTTAAATACATTAAGATGATATAAATATGAAAATATGGTTCTCAAAGCTGCAGGCTTCTTCAGTGTGTATGCAGCTGTGTAAGGGTGTGAGTTACCATTTTAATCTCTATGGTCTCTTTCTTCAGGTGGAGCTAGGATGCATTAGGTCCAACACAAATAGATCCTCTCAAGCTTTCCAGTTATATTTCCTTGTCATTGATTTGTTTTGAAAGGTATTAATTTTTTTCTTTTATTCCTAAACTCCCCCTTACACAACTTTTCAAACTTCTAACTGCTCTTGTCATGGTCAAGTAAAATAATGATGCCATATCTAGTTTCTCATTTTTTCTTTCTCTTTCTGCTTTTATTTTATATTACCTCATTATAGTTTGTTCTATTGCCTTTTTTTCTTTCTTTTTTCTTTTCCTAGTTCCAGCCTATCCTCTATTACTTCTACTGCTTTAACATTCAGGCTACTGAAAGTGTTAGGAACTTTTTTAACAAACGTTAAGTGAGATGCTGATAAAGAATTAGCTTTTTGAGAGTCACCTCTGCTGCGTGGCCCAGCCCGTACTACGGGCCTCCTCTGGAGCAGCGCCATTTCCACCGGGCACCACTGATTGGCTCTGACACAGCACCAGGAGGGTAGCCGTGCTGCCCCCGCCCCCGCCCCCTGTTATAAGATCCCCTGACTGAGCCAGTCCTAGGACGCACTCTACAGAGGCATGGTGGGCTACAAAAGGTGGTGATTGCTCCTATTATGTTCCTGCTTGTATCTATAGGGATAAAGGATAGGGATTGATTTGAAGAGTCGTTTTCTCAATTATGAAAATGAGAATGTCGATAAGTCATTAGAGAATCAAAGACTGGGATGCAACGATATCAGGAAGATTTAATGACCCAGAGATTGAATCAAGGGCAACCCAACAGCAAAAATAAAGATGCAAAAACATTTAAGCAAGCCACAAAAATAGACTTCCAGTCCACCAAAGGCAAATAGTAGGCCAAAGGAGAATGAAAAATCAGATAGTGAGCCTCCAAGACACTCAGAGCTCACAGCACATGAAGTAAAAAAAACTGATCAATCAAGCTCTAGAAAAATTCAAAACAGAAATTATTTCCCAGATAACCATAGAGATGGTGAGCAAAATGAAAGACATGATTTGAGACTCCAGAACAGAAACTGACAAAAAAATAGATGAGCTTAGGAACATAATAGAAGCCATGAAGGCCCAGTATAAGAAAGAAATGGAAACAATGAACACTCAACATAAGAAAGAAATGGAATCCATTA